ACATCCTCAACCACTGCACTACTCTCAGAAAGACAATGTTGCAGCTCAACAATCCTGGGGTCCAACAAGCCAGGCAGACATTCTTCTAACACAAGAGCGGTCAAATAGCGTATCCAGAAAGGTGTTGTCTCATTGGTGCGGTCAAATCAAACCAAAACTAAATTCTGCTCTGTGTATGTTGAATAAAGGTAAAAGCAAACCTGAAAACAAACTGTTCCCGAGTAATTTAACTACCACTTACAATAAATCTCAAGAATATTTAGAGATTAAAAACTCCATGAAACATGTAGAATTCATGCCCAACATCCTAACAAAGAATATCTGGCATGAAAAGAAGAAAAAAATAAGGCCCATAATGGGGAGAAAAATCATGAAACACAAACACAAAAATAGCATGGATTATGGGACTCAGGGGAAGCCAGCTGCCATTTTATGATGACAGTCAAACGACATAATGGAGATCATGAGAGGTACTAAGGCCTCCGCCCACAGCTGTGTGAACGAGTAATCTCAGAAGTAACTTCTCCAACACCAGTCAGCCTTTAAATAGTCAAAGCCTCAGTAAGCAACTTTACCGAAAGTTCGTAAGACCCTGTTCAGGACTCACCAACAGAGTTGCTCCCAAATTCCTGATCTGGGGAAACAAATAACTAATGTTTGCTGTTTTAAGCCACTAAGATCGGGAAGAATGAAACAGCAAAAAATGACTGGTATACATAAGAACCATCACCTAAGAACACTAAAAAGATAAGGTTGGAGTGGAGAGGTGACTTGGCAAATAAAGCACTTGCCCTACAAGCCTGAGGACCAGAGCTGGGATCCCCAGAACCCACAAAAAAGGTGTGGTGGTCACCTATAATCTCAGTACTTGGGAGAGGGAGAGGGAAAGGAAGAGGGAGAGGGAGACGGGGAGTGGTAGGGGGAGGGGAAGGGGAAGAAGAGAGGGAGAGAGGGAGAGAGAGGGAGGAGGGAGAGGGGGAGAAGGGGGGAAGGGAGGGGGAGAAGGAGGGAGAGAAGGAGGGAGAGAAGGAGGAAGAGGGAGAGGGGGG